GAGGAATAAGTTGCACAGGCAGTATTCCAATAATTGCACAAACGTGAAATAGGTCATTTAAAAAAAAATTTTTTTTAATCTGAAAAACATACTTATTAAATACTTCAATTTCATCCTACATTTACCTTTCTCTGACTTATAATCGATAAATACTCTAAAAATGGTATTTAAGAGAGCTTGTCCTAGCGTACAGACATAAAATCCTGAAATTTGTAGCGTCAAGATCTCACAGAACAACCATTTTTTGTAGCGTTTTTTTATATCTGAAATATGGCGACAATCCAAGCATGCTGAGTGTGATTAGAAAGGAAATTAATTATCTTTCATTTCATTGGTTTATTTTAGTGTTAAAAATCTAAGTTAACCAATAGAAGACAATATTTCTTATGTACCAAATTGTCTTGCATCCTTGACGACGGTCGATAAAATAATCAATGTGATTGGTCAATCTACTTTTCGAAATGCAGTGTCGGTAACTGCGCATGCACAGATTGTGATTTAATGAAGATGATGTGACAATGAGGATAACGGCAACGCCGATGATAGTGCCCGCAGCTCTGCTACTGCTTCTCTCTCCTGCACTCCTCCTGTATGAACCAAAGACGTATGCCTAGGCATGTCGATGAAGACTTGCATTTACATCTTTCTTCTTCAGAAAATTGAGAATGATGATCTGATAGGCCTAGCCCTAGTTGATTTTGTTGCCAACAGTGACAACAAAGAGAATGATGACCCATGTTTAGCTAAACAATAAGAGAAATTTTGGATTTAATTGCAAAAGGAGATGCTCCTCTCAGTTTGATGAAAAAACAGTAATAGAACTTAAGCTTGACTACAGATGCCTGTCTTAAGTCAAGGTTAGTTTTATTTAATTTGTCAAAAAAAAAAAAAAAAAAAATGGAGCCAAATTTGGAACAAATACACTAATGTAATAAATAAACATTTGTGCCAAGTTTTCAACTAATTCAGTGTAGAATGAATACCTGTTGCTAAGTAGCGAATGGACATGCACCTTCAAAGAACGTGAACGTAACGTTCAAGTATCCTAATGTTGATTGCCCATAACTTTGCCATAAACTATCATATCAAATAGAAAAGCTTAAACAAAAAAAAAAAAAAAAACAAAAAAAACATAAAAAAAAAAAAAAAAAAAAAAAAACATATTGTACTACCAAATAAACTGTACTTAAAAATTATGTTAAAATTATCTTTTTTAAAATGTTATTCTGTGTGGTCTCATCAATATTGTTCCACAAGTTGTTCGGATTGAATGATTGGATTAGCCTTAATATTTTTCCCATTTGTTTAAAAGAACGTTGAAGATTGCTACAATATGACATACAGGATTTGTATATGAGATCTTTTCAACAACGTACTGTTTCAGCTGAAATCTTGTTACTGCTAAGCATTTTCTTTTAGAGATTCTAATTTTGTTAGTTTTGATTAATTTTTCAAGGACCTTTAGCAATCACTTAAGCTATTGTATTTGCCTTTGGGCATGTTCTTTAATAATGTTAATGTAGCATGTGACCAAAATGGTTAAGGTAATTCTTGTGAATATGTAACATGAATAACATCATTATTGAAAATAATTTGAGATGATCCCCATATGGACAGTATGAATACAGTACTGCCACCCTAACCGTCTCCAAGAAGACTCCTAAATATTTATGCTTATATATGTTTTTACACTGCTGTTAATAAGAATCTTATATGTCATATATGACCCTCCATAAATTAAATGGTTTCATTACTAATCTGATAGCATTACCAAAATAGTTTGATAATCATAAAATTAAAAAAAATCTAGATTGCTTAACTCTTTTAACAAAATTTTACCTAATTTTATGTTTCTTATGATTGTAGCTTCATATTGAAACCTGTCTTTCCAATGTTATTTTTTTTGGTTTTTTTTTTCTTGCTCTTTTCAAACATGAATCAAATGACCAACCAGTTACAAAGGAAATTAAACATAAAAAAACAGAACATCAAAAGGAAACCAAGAAGACAGAAAAGGCAAGGGGGAAGGAGAGCAAAGGATAACCCTCTAAACCTGAAGGTTTGTTTCCTAAAAGGTTCCCATTAAAAATAAAGAGAGGATAAAAACAAGAAAGAGTTCAGAGCAGACAAGGAAAGAGCATCCCGAGAAAGCCATAAACAAATAAGTAAATAAATAAAAATAAGCCTAAAGATAACTTAAACTATTTTTTTGGATTAGTTTGGTATGTGATAATTTTGAACATTATTTCATAGTTTCATTTCATGTAGTATTTTCTAGTTTAGTCATGAACAGGATATTGTGCAATATACACCGTGAGAATTATTTCTATGAAAATATTTTTCACAGAGAGAAGCATACTGATCAGTTAGGGTAATCAATGTACAAACATAAATTTTTATAAAGGATTGAATTTTAGTTTAGTTTGCCACAGTACTGTAATTATATTAGCAAGACAATAAATGATTGTCAAAAAGTATTATTGTATGATCATGAATGCTTATAGGTCCCAGGTTTGCCATAATTTAATCTGACTAGTAAAACATTGGTGATGAGGTAATGATTTTGCTCATTTTGGGGACATTCATTCACGGAAAAATAAATTCTCCGGGGTCTTATTCGAGGGGGTGTTTCTAGTAAATGATATTCTGGAGAGAGATTTTATTCAAGGAACCCATTTCTTTTAAATTATTTATTACGATAAAAACAGTGATTTTGTTCTGATTTTGCAGAAAGGATTGTTTTAAGAGTTTGTTGATACCTACCTCTTTTTTATATTGACAATGATTAAACTTTGACCTTGCATTTATTATATTGACGGTAAGCATTATTTTGCGTAATCCTTTACTAAACAACAGAATAAAACTATAGCACTTGATTTATTACTCAGACGTTTTACGTCACATTCCTCCTTGGATTTTATTTCATATTTTCTAGTTTCAGTATTTATCATCTCATAGTACTAAAAAAATTATTATCCTTGTATTCTGGTAGAAATAATGTATCATTGGTTCTAGGCAGTGCGAGGTCTTTGTAATTAAATGTTATGATATATAATCAACTTCATTCCTAGTCTATCAAGTGACTTTCAGATGCTCTATATTAAGGCATAAGTAGACTTGTTTTTAGTTGTGAGAAAAAAAAACCTAATTTAGTATATGATTTAAAGTAGGACCCTGTCATTGGAAGATGGACAAATTCATCACCAAGTCATATCACCACTTCGTTTACAATAATATTTACATGGTATATTTAGAAATCTGTTGTTTCTATTATGTATTTTGTAAGTAAAATAAAAAAAATGTTTTTTTAACATGGTTTAAACACTTAAATTTTTAAGTACTAAACTGTCTAATTTATTGTATTCAGAAATACGTAAAAATAATTTTTACACTATAAATATAATTAATATTTTAAATACATTGGTGTAATAAATTGATTGATTATAAGGAATTTTCATAAACATTTGCTTATTAATTTATGTAGATTTATGTAAGTATTGTGAAACATAAGCAGTGAGTGAGTTGTTTTGACATGACTGTGAACAGCATAAATGCAGACAGCTTACAATGTAGAGGTGAATCGCTTAAGACCAAGTAAAGGTCATCATGAAAAGGCCAACTTCAAAATGCATCTATCTAATGTATTATTGGATAGTAATACACCACACAGATATTCAATGGCCGGTTGACAAACACAAATGCATTATGATATTCTACTCAAACTTTGATATTACTCTCTTGAATATGTAACCATCCTGTCGTCAGCTCATCCCAAGGGGTGATTCTAGGGTAATTTGAGACTAGGCCGGGGTATCCAACATTGAATAATGGATGGTTTTAGAAAATATAATATATTGTTTGATAGTGAGATTCCACATTCAGTTTGCTACTGCTATAGCTAATGACATGACGGTAGATTGTTAATGTTATTATGATTCAGTACCCTAAACCCTACAAAGGCAAAGTATTTCTATCGTGCTTCTTCAACCTGAATTCTGCATTTTTGAATGTTTGCTTGATACTATCTAATAGAAATTGATTGTAGACAGGATGTGATAAAAATAAAGAGAAAATGAATTGGATGAATCTTAATGAAAAACACCTTTTTAATGAAGCAATATATGTAGAAAAGAATGAACTACCCTATGCTGAAGGTGAAATGGTATTTTAACTACGCCAAGCTTAAATCTGAATACAAAATGAAGATTTATTTAACTGAAGCAGATATCTGGAATAAACTGGACATCAGAACCAAAAGTATAAAAAATACTAATAAATATATTATGAAAATGTTAACTTAATGCCAGCTTTAAGTGTAATTAGTAGAAGTGGTTGGCGCATTGGTTGTGGCTTGGACTCCCAACCTTGAGGTCGGGGGTTCGAAACTCTGGCTGTGCAAATCGCTTGTGTCCTAGGGCAAGGCACTTTATCTACGGTTGCCTCTCTCCACCCAGGAGTACAAGTGGGTACCTGGTAGTTTCCAACACTGCGCTGATTACTAGCCGCAATATTATGGAGATATAATTTAATTTAATAATTTCATTTAGTGTTCAATGTGTTCCATATGTGTTTGATACAATGACCGGGGTAATAATGTGAAGCGCTTAGAGGCTTTGTTAAGGCATTAAGTGCTGTATAAGAACGACATATTATTATTATTAATTAATATCAAGTATATAGTTAAGAAGATCCAATTAGTTTTAACTACGCTTAAAATTAGTTTATATTATTTTACTATGATTTGAAAGTTATTTTTCCCTTTAATTGTGTTGATAAGTTTTTATATTTGTTGAAATATACAACATTGGTAATAGGAAAAATAATCTGTGTAAATTGTAGTTTATTGGCTAAGACAATAAAATGTAAAAAAAGGTATTTACAGGTAATATCAGAATTGTATACATTTTTATTGTAGGTTTATGTTTATGGAAATAGAATTATTAATTGATCGCCCATTCTAACATGCTTTTGGGTTTGTTTTTTTTTGTGTCTGTCAATAGGTTGCATCGACAACACTCAATCCTAATGCGAAGGCTTTCCCAGTACCCAAGCGGTCTGTGACCCCAGACGCAAACGATAACTTTGAGCTGGGAGAACATGACAATAGGGATTCCAGTACTGCTCCATCACAGGTAGCAATGAATAACAAAGGTGAGCATTAACTTTTTTCATTGCGGAGCTTTTAATAATGCGAGAAAGGTAAGATCTATGGAATGATTCTTTGTAGAGCCCACTGCGCATACGAGGACAATACGTTCTTGTCTTCTGAATTCTAGAATTTGACCCAAATTTACGTTGTATGCAGAGAACGTAAGACGGTCCCAGATGAGTGAATATGGTCACGTTGTGCAAGTCGAATTGCACCTATTACCTCGCAAGTGGACAGTTAGTAGGTAACTTTCAATTGTTTGACGCAACGCTAGAACAGAATCACTCGTGCATGACCTTCCTACCGGCCGTCCTACGTTCTCTGCATACGTAGATTTCGCCAAATTGCCTTCTAGAATCCACATGCAGATGATTTTTAGTGACGTCATTATGTTCTAGGTCCACCGTCGTTGTGCAATCAAAATCTCCCTACTGACAATCTACCTACCCTTTGTCTATTACTACAGCAACTCTGTGCACTAATGTGGTTGTTAGAAGATTTTGATATTTGAAATTATTTTCAGGAATAACTGATAAAAAAAGTAGAGTACAATATTATTATAATGTGTTTCTTATGCTTTTATATTTTATCACGGAAAACGTTTTAGTAGCCATAGGACTGGGAAATCTGATTGTGTTAAAGAATAGAGAATACATCATCAATATAATGCCATTCAAAAACAACAAAAACCTACTTTTTTACATATATTTTTGGCTGTAAAATGGTTTTAGTAAGACAGATACCGTGGAATGCATCGGTAGTATTTATGGTAGAGCATTGGGTAGAAATGGATATAGGTTGTGGACATTAGAGAGTACTGGAAGGAACAATGCGGAATGATGGTGTAGTCTATGCTATTGTAGATCCAAACTGGGAAAGTGTTAATAAAGATTACATGGCTACTTGGGAAGGATTAATGGAAATTGAGAAGTGAGAAGAATTTTGAGTGAAAATGCAGATAATCATTGGTTTAAATCTTCTTAATGTGTATTTTCATGATCATTAGTAAATTATTCTTACTTTGTACTGTATTTCTGTAGAGTATGCCCCAGGCAAGTTCAAAGTTCATGCTCATGGTAGATTAGAATTGAAATTACTACTTTTCAGATTGAACACTTTGAATTTTGTGTACTACTTTTATTATAATTGATGTTATGAACGTAATCTTTTGTGCCTCCAAGCGACTGGTACATACTGTAACCAAATTGTTCATGTATCATGTTTGTGTGATTATGCGCAACATAAGTCTATTTAGCAATATAGTCCACACTTCATAACTAAAATGTTTTTAGTGTTTACTATTAATAAAACATGGCATTACATCATAATTAACACAAGAATATAATTGTGAAACTGGTAAGTTTTAATTGTTTTTAATTGTGGGTAGCTTAATATTGGTCATTTTCAATTTTAATAGATGGGTCTGGCTTGGATGAATTATTAATCATATGTTGTTCCCACAACAAATACGTATAATCTGCATTGTGATTGGCTGAATCTTTTAATCGCATGTCATTTTAACATTTTATAGATAGATTGCTCATATATTTTAGTATCTGGATGGTTTGCTAAATATTTGATTACATGTCATTCTCAAGAAGATAAATAGCTTATCTATATTTTAATTGGCTGAATCCTTAATCACCTGAAATTCTCAAGCAAATTCATAGCTCATCTGTATTTTAATTGGCTGAATCTTCGATCACATGACATTCTTATATAAATGCTTAGCTCATCTGTATTTTGATTGGCTGAATCTTTGATCACATGACATTCTCAAATAAATCCATAGCTCATCTGTATTTTGATTGGCTGAATATTTGATCATTTGTCTTGAAAATAAAATCTCCATTATTTTTACAGTACCATTTGTGAATGGTGACAACAGCAAATATTCATCAAATCCAGAATCTCCTGTACAAACAGCACCTGCTCTTCCAAATGGACTCAACCATACAGAGTACTTTCTCCAGGATGGCAGTGTAGTATCAGGTAAAAACTGACAAATCCATTTTGCAATTGGGTTTATCATGAGTGTGAATATAATGGCCTTCCAGTTTCAAGATCTTGCTTCAGTCATTACAATCCCTAAAATTTGTAGGATGATTTTTTTTGGTGCTTTGCTAATCTAAATGTAATTGCAAGCATGTTTGAATAACATTTGAGGAGAAATATATTCATTGATATTTGTTAATACTGAACCACTTTGGAAATCAATGTTTTAGCACTGAAACATTCNACATCTAGATGTGTATAAGAGACAGAATTTAATATATTCAACTCTAAAAATATAATATTTTTAAAAGCGTTAAATTGTAAATTGTTTTAAATATATTTTAGATTTTTATTTGGTTTGGGTTTTTACATAAATTTTCTGTCTAAATTACTTTTGAAATAAAATCCTATAAAAAGGATTGGAGATAAAAGCATTTTAAGATAATGCGCAATTCAACGTTTAGTCTTTTGTCATTATACACCGTATATTGAAGTTCCTATTTTCTGTACCATTACCATTTATATTAAGTGAAGTGAATACATTACTTAGTACAGTGTGTAATTGGAGATGAGAAGAATCAGTAAATTTCTAGATGACAATTTTATTCATAGAATTTTGTCCAGTACTAATGAATTTCAATGAAGAACAAAAATGGATATAATTATTGTTGAAATAGATTTGGAAATGCATGCGCTAGTTTTAAACAATTAACATCCAAACAACTTAAAATTTATATATTTTATTTCTGTGTTTAGTTAAATTTTACAATAGCTTTGAATCAAGAAAGTAACATTTTAAAAAAAGTTTCTGTGTAATTTCTGTTCCTGTATTCTTTTCATAACCTTAAATTGGCTGTAATCAATTTTAGGATTTTCTTTAATAAAACGTCTCTAAATGTAAATCAGTAAAACATAAATTTTATGTCTCTACATAAATCAGTAAAACATAAGTTGTGTTGCTCTGTTGGTTTCATTGGACATTGATACTTTTAGAAAAGCAATTTAATTGTTGGGAGTTTTTAGGGATTTTTTTTATAGATAATACGTCTGTTTAAATTTAATGTTGGATGAAGTAGGTATAGGAAATGCTTGATGCGGATGATTTATGGCAGCAGTTTGACCCCAAAATTTTGTTTATGCTTTTCTGTCTTGGTACTTGTCTTCAGAATCACTTGATCAGCAGCACAATTCTGTGGTAATGTTGCTGGTTGTTGGCAACAGCCGTGACATGACATTATCTGAGGGTTCATATGTCAAATTTACTATCAATAAAAAAAAAATGATGAAGCAAATTGTAAGAAAAATTGGAAATCAAAAAATATATTCTTTATTCTTTTCCTACCTGCCCACACTGCAAAGTTCACTGTGCTTCTTTGTATGATTGGCAAATATTTCACACCAAATAACAACATTATAAACACAATAAACAACATATATCTTTTGTGTTTACAGTTACATTGCTGCATTTTACTTTTAATAGTCAAAAAAGTTTATTCTAAATTTCAGTAATTGAATTTTAAATAACACAAAGTATGCAATTTAACTGTTTAAGTTTATCAGTTCAGACAGTACTATAAAGGCTTATTATTATCCTTCTAATGGTAAATAATAATAATGATGATTTCAACTAAAATAGTCTGTAAACCGGGACATAAAGAAGCACTTGTTTCTTTAAGTATACTCATTTATTGATATTTTGATAACCATAAATTGAAATTTTGTAGATTGCAGGTGTACTTTACCTTTTTTAAAATTATTAAACATGATTGTATGATTGGTCAATAATAATAGGTCTATATTTCATACCAAATAAAATAAACACATTTACATGAGAACGAACATTTCTCTTCCTGTGTGAGCAGCTGCAATATGTATTGTACAGTAATACAGTACCTTTGATAAAAAAAACTTTAAATATACAAATTTAATAATTCATTAGTATATGAGTTCAGACATTATTCGGAAGTTAATTTCATAATATTAACAGGTGTTTCAAGATAAGCAATAAGTTGGTGTCAGCCCACGAAATGCCAACCATATTGCTGATACAAATATTTTTGCTGATCTTGCAATTTTTGCTTCACCATTCCGAACGTAAGCCTAGTCGAGGTTTCCACTAGGGCAGGCCATAGCCGAAGCTATGTTTTACACTCATTGTACCCTAAAAAATCTTATCTATTTGTAAAACTAATTTATTATTTATTATCTTGGTCCTCCATATAACCTAGGCCTAAACATCAGTTAATTTACAGTTAGACAAGATTTTTTTTATATCGAACCCACTGCCTGCCAATATGATGAATTCAAATAAAAATAAAAATATATTTTTGGCCATTTAGCGCACCCTCCACCACAAAAACAAAAAAGTTTTTCTTTATTTTTATTACGCACGTCACTCCCTTGAAATCTCCAAAAATAAGAAATGTATATTTCTTCCTTATATAAATTTAAAGCATTTAACCATCTCATTACTACACTGTTTACATTCACCAATAAAATTTTATTTTTATTTTCCCCTCCATCAGGATGATTTTGGCAAAAATATTTGCTAAATAAAAAAACTAAATTTTATGGTTTCTTTTCCTGCCCCTCTTGCCTTAAAAATAAACGCATCTGTTTCAATACTGTTTGCTTTTATTTTATCTAAAACCAAACTAAACCTAACTCTAGGCTAAGCCTACCATACTATTATATATATATATATGATCGCATTTTGGTTCAGTATAGTGGGAAATCCAAGATAGGTTGTTATCTGAATATAAGCATCGACATGCATCTATAGTTTTTAAACTGTTTTCAAGGAAACCGTTTGTGATATAACCTATTTTTAAGTGTAGATGATTTTGATGACGTTATTTAGGTTCAGTATTCAGAAAACGTAGGTTATACTCTAGTAGGCTAATATTGCTAATAATGCCAACCTCTAGAGATTTTAGGTCGGCTAATTTTTGCCAACCTAATTTCTTTCTAATTTTGTAAGTTGTGATACAATAAGTTCTTGTGATGTCTTCAGTTTTTGGGAATTCATTAAAGATTGCATATTAGGTAGATTAATGTTCAGGAGGTTGGATTGAATTTCTTTGGTGTGTGTGAACCTAAAAAGGATGACTGACAAAAATTTAGAGACTTATTCCCATTGGAGTACTACTAATAGTATATATTAATAATAAAACTAAAAAATAAAGCTACATTTGGCAGTAGACATCCCCTGCTTAAAAAAAGGTGTTATGTGTTCTTTAACAACATGCTGTCTATTGCACGTAGGCCATATTGCGCACAGGACCAATTGCTAGTCTCAGAAAGACAGTGCACTTTGTATTATACATGAATTTCAGCCATTGAGCTGAAATGTTATTTACCCGAATGAGCTATGCTACGCTCATAACACTGATAATGCAGTTGAGTATGTCTGCATACTATTTTTAAAATTTTATGACCATAAATACATTAATGGGACTTAAAATACCACTTGGGATGTAAGTGTTCTCCAATTCCTCATCTTTCGATACCTTAAATTTGATGCAGGTTTTTAGATTAACTTTTTAAGCATATTTGTTATTAAATATTGCATAAATAAAAATAAATATTTTAAAAATAATATGTTATATAGCGTTTCATGCCTCAAACTTATTACCTTGGCCATTGGATCAAACACGTATGGAACACATACTCAACTCCCTGGGGAGAATTCTATAATATTGCAGCTAGTAATCTACCAGGTACCCACTTGTACTCCTGGGTGGAGAGAGGCAAACGTAGGTAAAGTATCTTGTCTAAAGACACGAGCAATGCAGTGAGCGTCGGTCTTGAATTACCGATCCCGTGATCAGAAGTCCAATGCCTTACGCGCTGTGCCACACGCCCTCATAATTTAAATTGATAAAATCTAGTACATTAAAAATATATTACTACTTACTTACTACTTTTTATAGTAACATTTTTAGGAAAAAAATACATGGTGTTCGAAGAAATTGGTGCCTGTTTTAGTATTCATTAATTTTTGCTCCAAACAATATTGTAGTAAGCTTATGTTCTGCCATTGAAAAAAGTTTCCCCAGCATAAAATCCCAGAAAATACTTATAAAATTAACAATTGTTAAAAGCTTTAACAAATTTGCATTACAAATAGGAATGTAGCCCATAATGCTACATCTTTTGAAAGCAAGTATGGAACTAAGGTCTTGTATTGTTTCTCACCCAGAGTCCACATACTATTGAAAATGAGTCTGAAGTGAAAGGAAGGTTGTTTTCTTTTAATTTGTCCATGCTGTTTAAATTGTGATTTGTAAATCTAAAAAGGTAGATATTTAAAAAGAAAAGTTTGTCTTTTTTAACACAAGTTTCCATTTTTATTTGTCAGTTATGATGTAAAACTCTAAAGCGATGATAATGCAAAGCAGTAGTATAGAGAAAAACATGGTCCATGGTTAAAGGGTATCAACCCAATAGCTCCCTCAAACCTGTCAGTGTATGAAAAGAAAACAAACAATACCTGTAATCAACTGGAAACATTTCCGATTTTTCATTTGTCTGACTTGGAAGTAGACTTCATTGTTGATAAAATTTTACAATTAAACAGTCTGAGTACTTTTTTGCATGAGTAAACAGAACATTTTGTTGAAAAAGAAAATTAGAACACCTTAATTTATTTAACATATAAAATATACCAAGTTTAACCCCATTATTGCGTATGACTCTAGGCAGGATATTTCGCGATTAAAAAAAATTTTCAACAAGTCCACACCTCAGTCTATGTGTTACCTAGTCAAATGGCTGACCAGTTATGGCGAGTCGCTTGGCCAAGTGGTTAAGGTAGGGATGCCGTAACCAGTAGCCATAGCTCTGGTTCCAGCGGCTCACTCTCCCATTCCAGTGGCGGAACAAGTTTTCTCAGATAAAGACTATAAACCATCAGTATACACAATTAACATGTCGACAAGGATGCAAAGCCCCGCCCACAAAGTCACGAAAACCTTAGGCAATGGCGGCTAGACTTA